GTGTATGTTTGCCTGCCTATATTCAGTGTATCCCTCTCAGATGGATGAAATGTATCATGGAAGGAGGAATAAGGAGTATGCAGTCCCTAATACTATGGATAAAGGTAACAATAGTATTAATAGTAATAGTGTTCGGCACCATCGTAAAAAGTGCATACTTACATAAGATGAGAAAATGTCGACAATGAAAGTATACATACGTGTTACGGTTTATTTTGAAAAGAAAAAAAGACAGGATACAATTGTTTGTGGAAAAGGAAAAGATAACTATAAAATCTAAATTTTGTGAGCAATTATGGGTGACAGAATATAATTTTATAATGAATTCATATATTCATGTGTTATTATCATTATTATTACTAAAATATAAGTATGTTGTATGTACATTTGTCTGCATAATTTGGGTAAGTAGGGATATTTTGTCAAATATATATATATATATATATATATATATATATATATACATATATATATATATATATATATATATATATATATATATATATATATATATATATATATATATATAAAGAACAATCTAGGTGAATAAAGTAAGGCGGTTATGCTATTTGTAGGTAAGCAGTTCACAAAATTGCCGATTAAAATCTATCTACGTAATACGCTCATTGTTCAATAAGTTATAAATAGATGCAGCACAGCAATTAACAAATTTCTCTACAAAGTAATCTAGTGGAAAAATGACTTTTATTAACATTTAAGAAAGACACTTCTACAATGAAGTTGGTGCTTGTGAGTGTGTAGATTTTGGAGGAAAAGATTGGGGAATGATTGCTCAATCGTTTCTTATTGTTAGCTAACATATAAAACAGGGGAATCGAGAATGTTCAAAAAGTTAAAAAGTTTATTGATACTATCTCCACCACCATCATCATTGTGATATCGGTACTATCATAACCATCTACATAATCAACCAACCCAACAACAAACATGATTATAACAAACCGATGAATAAAAATTTTTATCTTTTTATGGATAGATAGAATAGTTGAATAATCAGGATATTAGATTCTTTGCTTTACCAAATGTTATGTAAGACGGATGCATAAAGACTAAAGTGCAAGGCAGTCAGTTATTTAATAATTCGTTCTAAAGGTGTTTCTTCTTTTCCAGTCAAATACGCTCATAGGGGAAAGTTTATATTCACATCTGTCCATTTTGTCTGTTTTTATCATGATTATTAGTAATTGTTGAAGATTTTGTGTTGTTCTGTACTCATATTTAAAAGCCTTCGATAATACAGTAATTTTCTAAACCAGCTAAAAGGATATAAAGAAACCATAAGAAGAATAAAAACACGGCTGAAGTGTATTTAGCTAATTTTGGACCTCCTAATTCACCGCCAATTGATTTTTTCCGTCTGAACAATATTAACGCGATAGCAACTAAACCGAATATACAGAACACTGTTACAGAGAAGCCTAATGATCCTGGTTGAACTAGAAAGGGTGTCCCTTTGATAGCATGATAGATAGCTGCTATACTCCAACCTAGGCCAATGCCCAAGAATACATTAACAGCATTACTTCCAGTAACGTTGCCAATAGATGAATCTGCATATTGATCACCGACAGCAGCAACTTTACTTGCAAAGGTATCTAGATGCATAATATAAAGAAAAATGAAAAAAGATGTATGTGTGCGTGTCTCATTAAGCCAATAGCTACAAGACAAGAATGAGAAGAATGGTATCAAGTAAAACCAAAGAAAAAATAACCTATATTACATAACACTCTACATGGAGATCATTTAATTCATCAAAAATCAAGCTGTCGAGTTGCTTTGATTGTGTTAGATATTGGTTTTGTGAAAGGCAGACCATATTTGGCGCTAGAAGTTCATATTCTGAAAATCCTTGCAATAAGTCTACCTACCAAGGTTCGCGTAGCCAGGTGGTAGTACCATTGGCAGCCTTTACACAATAGGTGTGTCTCATTGCCAACCGAACAAATGTGCGAAGGTTACTGAGTGCATTTCGACTCAATTCGAGTCTACTTAAACTTTATAACTCACCAAACACAACAAAAGCGTGACACTTGTTGTTCTCCTTCAGGGAAAGCATTAGCCGTATCGAAGCTAAACATTTCATTAGTAACATCTTAGAAGCTACTGAACGACGCAATTTCGCAAATATTTGAAAAAAAGGTTAATCTTTCTTAGGATGACCAGCACTGAATGGCTTATTAATTCCAGAGTTCACAACTTCTTTCCGATCATCTCTAACAGCTCAATACTTTGCACAGAGTGTTAACTACCTTATCCATTGGGAACTTCGCATTCTTTAATTGACAAGTTCCAATCACCACTGAATTCAAAGCAGACTGGTATAAATGCGGCGACTGATTTGTTGAAAAGTGAAGAAATGGAAATCTATATTTCCAGTCAGTTTAATCAACTCAGGGAAATCTGAAAATCAGCATATTTTTGGAGCTACTAAATTATTTTAGTAGTATAGTTTGTCAGTGTATGTTAGTTGAACTGAACGACTATCATACAGCTCAGATGGAAGTTATTGATGACTGATTATGTTTCATGATGGAGAAGTTACTTTTTTAATAAAGAATAATCTCTGATGACCCACTATTATAGGCATTGTGATTTTTATTCTGCAAGCATTTTGTCTGTCAGTGGATGCCAAATATCAGGAGATCATTTATCCTTCAGTTAAAGATTCGTTGAAAACCTGAGGGCATTGTATAGCTGTCTCATGCTGATGCGGAGTTCCTCAGGAGTGCTCATGTGCAACCTCACGAGTGGTTCAGCTCAGGAAGTTAGGTTTCACGGCCAGGAAATTGGGAAACGGAACTGCCGTTAATATTATTAGCCCATCGTGCCCCGGTACAAGGAACAACCAAGAAGTCGTTAATGTTAATGTATGGCAGGAAACCACGGCTCCCAATATACAGTAAGACCTGGCCCCAACAACAGCCATGGAACATGACTAGATTGAGAAATGAGCGGAAACGGACAATCACAAATGTGGAACGGAAACAGAAAGCTGATGCTGAAAAATCTGAACCGAGAGAAGGAAGTAAATGGAAGCCGTTTCAGGTCGGAGATCAGGTGAAGTGTAAAAAACAAGGATATACGCCAGGAGGTGAGTATGATAGAAGAAAACTACTCTTGAAGTGGGAAGGATCATACATCACTATCGAGTGACGCTGTCCAGTTTATGTCATCAAAAAAGGGGACAAAGAGAAAAGAGTAAACGCCAGCCTAATTCAAAAGTGGAAGGAGTGGGAAAAAGACGAAACTTCGCATCAACACCAAGAGAAAACAGCACCAAGACGATCAACATGGTTACAAGCCCGGAATTTTGACGGGGGACGAGTGCAGTGGGCGTTGCTGATAAAAATGGATATAAGTAGTATATGTTCGGAGGGTGACAGAAATCATAGGGAATGACCAGCAATGAGTAAGGATTCCACCAAGAGAAACTTAAGAGACAAGGCAGGCGTATGAAGAGCAAATCAAGAAAGAAGCAGAAAAGGAAATGAAGCATATTTTGCAAATGACGGTTTTAGAACAAGGTGTTCCATATTTAATGACGACTGTCCCACTTGTTGACAATCGACATTCCTTCCTGCTTACCTGTTTTCCGCTTTCTTCATTAGTTGTAATATCAACACATCATACTTCAAGTATGTGAAAATAAGTGAAGATTTGATAATCCAGGATTAACAATCGTGTGGGAGTCAAGGAAACGCAAGATTAATAATCGCAAACCTTAGTCAAAATCAGTGGCAATCATATTTGAGACAGAAAATTCTAAAGCTGTAGGAGGAAGAAGGGGAAAACAAACAGGTAGGAGTATAAGTGAAGTGGTTCGATTGCGTCACCTCTTCATTAAGTACTTACTGATCGTTAACTATTCAGCCCAATGTTATTTTATATAATTACGTAGCCTATTAGCTCTTTAACGACCTCTTCTTTTACATCCCTGTCTTTTCGTAGTTCGCCCTCTTCTCACAACTCCACAAGTCTCCATCTCAACAAATATAAGCTGCTGTTGATTTTGAAAAAGGTTTTTGACCAGTAATTCTAAATTCCCTCGACCCACTACCTTATTGTTAATTTTGGATTTCAAATCCTCATTTATTTCTACATAAGAAGTGGCTATAGTGACTCGATAGCCTAGTGGGTAACGTCTTGGTGTTTGAAGTCACCAGTCCAAGGTTCCAGTCCTAGTGGGAACATCATCTGGAGAAATGTAGGTACATTCGGCTGAAGAGTCTCAAATAGGACGAAGTGCGCATCCTGGACTCCAATGCTAGCCACCATCTATCAATAATATCAAAATCGAAAGTGCAAGTAATGTCAAAGTATCAGCGCAGGAGCCCATATGCCAATAGAGACCGATCATTTTGGTTCAAACAATGACGGAATAATACAAGCAATATCATATTTAAAGTATGTTATGTCGTTATTACTACTAATATTTCATTTCACTTGCTGTTTGCAGCTGATGAAAGGCCGTGAAATAAAATGAGCTCATTTTATTCTACAAACGTCTATGTTCTTGCATTGCTCAAAGATACATTTGTATTCTATGCTAGGAGTTATCTATTCTGAATAACGTGGTATGAAACTGTACCAATTTATTGCTTGAGTTTATAGTCAAGACAAGTTTTTCTTGTCATTTTTGTGATGAGAGTATCTACAAAATTACTTCTTGCATTGCACAAGAAAGTGCATGCAAGTATACTGACTATGTACTTTCTTTGACAAAATAAATCAAAATATTTCGAAGGATAAAGATGAATGCTACTTTCAATTGCTGACACAGTGAGGAAGACTAACGAATAGGCATCCTGTTTCTGTCGGTATCCGGCATATTGCCATGTAAGCTTTATTTAGGATGACTGACATTATTGTTCATTATTTCAAGTTGTTATTCATCTTAGACTGACATCAGATGGAGGAACAAAGGAAACCTGGGAGCACTGGACAGCTGTTTCGTCCTAGTATGGGACTCCTCAGCAGTGCGCACCCACGACCCCACCAGCAGGGATCGAACCCGCGACCTGATGGATGTCAGTCTTCGATGAATAACAACTTGAAATATTTCCAAATCTCCACAACCCCCTCAAAATTTAATTGAACTAGTGCTCGTTGGTGACTAGCTTCGAGAAGTATTCCCGAAGTTCCAATGACAAGTCGTGACCGGTGGAGTCAAAGCCTGATGGCCGTGAGGACAAATACTCAACGATGACATTGGGTGGCGGTTTGCGCTATATCGTGAGCTAATAGAAGTTGGAAATATGGAGCATTGGATTCTGACCCAGTGACTCAATGGTAACGCGCTGGTCGCGGAACCTGAAGGTCGCGGGTTCGATCCCTGCTGGTGGGGTCGTGGGTGCGCACTGCTGAGGAGTCCCATACTAGTCGGACGAAACAGCTGTCCAGTGCTCCCAGGTTTCCTTTGTTCCTCCAACTGATGTCAGTCTTCGATGAATAACAACTTGAAATATTTCCAAATCTCCACAACCCCCTCAAAATTTAGTTCATTATTTCGTTCAAATATTGTATAGAACGAGTAGTTTTTAGGGTAATTTTAACTTCATTTATTGTAATATTCTTAATATTTATTTGAACAAAATAATGACCACTAATATCAATCACACCATATCAAGTTTACGGATAACATGCCGGATACCGGTAGTCGTATCCTGTCTATTAACATTTCACATGTAACTACATTGAAACTTTAAAAAAAATGAGCGGAAATTGGAAATGAAATCGAACTTTTAGTAACTCCATCAATGTTTTAAATATACAAGTGATGTAAAAGGGAAATTTTCGTCCACGGCATTTCCGGAAAAGATATGGTACATAGCTGTATTTTATTGTACAACTCTTCATCGTATTCCATTATGGTTGATTTATTAGATGTATCACAAAGTAGGACAGTATTATTTGCTGGATTACGTTTCGGACACAATTTATTGTTCATAGTTATAGTCAATATATTCTTAAAGTTAATGAAAGTATCCATCAAGACATTAAAGAAAACGAGGAGTTCAGCGAAGATATCCTTCTCGGCGATTTCACTCTCCATAGCTGTACAGTAGCAATTTATACAATTTTTTATTTAACTGTTTTTGGAGAGTTACAAGAATTATTTACTGGAACCTAGTAACAAAGACCAAGTTAAATGAAAATCAAAAATTAACAGGTATGATGCAAGATGATAATTAGTCACAAAAGAGTATAGAAAACAGGATAATTAACCGGGCAGAATTTGAAGTTGCATAATTTGCAAAATAGCTCTCAAGATAAAGTATGATCAAGAGTAGAATGGAAACAGAATGAAGACGATACTGAGAGGTTAAAATATATCATAAAATACAACAGAATGGTGACTAATAAGAAAGAGATAGGGGTCGATGTATTGTTGAGAATTTACTAAGTCCAAGGTAGCAACAAAGATTGAACATATTTCTTTTGTACACATAATTCCAGATTCTTCATATATATGGCAGTACAGAGAAGACAGAAGTGTAACACTAAAGGCAAGTTTCTTTTTACCCCATAGAAGAGTTTGAACGCTGAATCAGTTGTGGCGCTGTAGCCAGTGTTGACAAGGTGTTCAATTATTGCACTTCTGA